TCCCTCTCCCCCTTCCCCCTCCCTCCCTCCTTCTCTCTCTCTCTCTCTCTCTCTCTCCCTCCCTCTCTTTCTCTCTCTCTCTCTTTCTCTGGGAGCTTCCCTGTTCTCAGAGGGAAGAGAGGCTTGAAGGAAGAGTTTGCGCAGAAACTAACAGAAATAACAGATTAGGATTAAGAGAAAGGGACCCACAAACTACATTGCACAACTTCTTTATACTGATCCATCAAGCCCATGGGATGATGCACCGATTCATTCATTCACTCCTCTCTCTTCCTGCTTGGCCCTTCACTGGATGCTGGGGCACGGAGACCTGACGCTGCATTAATGTAGCGCGTGTTTCTACAAGTGTGGACCGTGCCCCGCCTGCAGCCTCAGCATTCCCATTGCTAATAATATAAACTCCCACCCCCGGGCCTCTTCCCAGACCTAGATTTACCGTATCAGAATCTCGGTGCTGGGCCTGAGAACCTGCATTATCAACGGTTCCTCATCCCATTCTTCTGCAGCTGAAGGGTAAGAACGCTGGTTTTGGGGATATTCTTGTAGACTACTTTCACTGCAGCTGTATCTGCTTGAATGTGAAGCAGAGAGAAGCAATGCCTCGATAACAGACACCAGGGACCGGCTTCGCCCCTCTACACAGTCCCCAGCCCTTCTCCGCTCCTGGAATCGAGGGAGGAGGGCGGCTCCGCCCTTCCGCGCGAGCCCCGCCCCGGCTGTCAGGAGGTAGCGAGCCCGGCCCCGCCCGGCGCGCGTGCCCGAGTGCAGGCCCCGCCCCTGCCCCTTACCCTGGACCCTTTGCCCAGCCTCGATTAAAGCAACCACACACCGACTTCAAAGAAAGCGAGCGACATGGCGGCGGCGGCCAAGCCCGAGAACCTCTCCCTCGTGGTGCATGGAGCCGGGGACTTACGCCTGGTAAAACGGAAAGGGGGGTGGGGAGCCTAGCCCGACCCTGTCCTGGCTCCCCAGTCCCAGCCCCGCGCCAGCCCCGCACCTTGAGCGCCCGGGCCTCCCAGATCTGAGCTGGTTACCATAGGGGGCGGGCGGTGGCTGCTAAGGGAAGGGATCTTGTGGTGTGCCTACCGGAACTTAGCCCCGTGTACAGCACGTGGCATGCGTCCAGGAGGTACTGCAGAATGACTGAAGCCTTCTTTCTCCTTTGCCAGCTGCAGCTGCCTAGTCTAGCTTCTTGTTATTGCACCTTTCTGAAGAGATGGTGGGAGACTGCCTATATTACGATCTGCACTGCAGGGTGGTGGTGTTCAGAGGGGCACTTAAAAACTGTGGAACTTGCTTGGGACTGATAAAGCCTCCCTTGCAGGATTATTATGATCACTCAAGTACTCAGCACATAGTAGATACTCAGAAAGCCCAGTCCTTTCCTCCTCTTCTTCCAGTCCAGGCCTCCATCTCCTGCCCTCCTGGTATTCCCCTTGCCTGTACCACCAGACTTAGGCATCTTCATAGCCTTCCTGTCTCCAAAGCTGCTTTCCTCCTTATCTCCAGTAGTCCACATTGAGATCATTTTCTAGCTGTTTTCCTTTCTGATCCTGGTCCCTTGACCCCCTTAAAACATTATGTAATTCTCCACCTGAAACATCTCCCTGGCTTGTGGGGGCCAAGGTTCAGGAAGCTGCAGAATCAGCCCTGTGCTCATGCCAGGGCCCCTGCCCTTTGACAAAGTCTATCTCAGATGGGCCTGGGATGGCTGTAGTATGTGGGATGAATGCCAGTCATTACAGAGGGATCCATTTCTCGCCTGTTCCCAGCACCTTCTTCCCCCTCAAAGAGTATATACACAGGATCTGGACTGGAGGGACTCTGAAGATTATCCACGTCACAGTTGTGACTATTTGGGGGCATTATATTCCTTTGAAAAATCTATGGATTTTCTTCCCACAGAGTGTACAGGTTGACTTGGTAACAGTTTCAGAGAATTCATGGAATACCATTGAGGCCCTTCAGAGACCCTTTAGAGGTTTATAGACCCTAGATTAAGAACCCCTGCCTTGAGCCACCTCTCCATTTCTCAGCTGAAGGAAGTGCCATACCCAAGGTGACGGGCTTGGTTAACAGAGCCAAGGCAAGAACTCAGAAGTTCAGTTTCCTATTTCAGGTGTTCTACTTACCTCAGAACCTGCACCCAAGGTCCTGAATTAAAATGACGCTATTTGTTTATAGCTAGAATGGTCTGACTTCATCTCATCTACTTTGGTCATGTTGTCAGAAGGGACCATTCCCTGGAGAAGGATGTCATGCTTGGTAAGGTGGAGGGTCAACGAAAGAGGGGAAGGCCTTCAACGAGATGGATTGACACAGTGGCTGCGACAATGGGCCCAAGTATAGCAAGGATCATAGAGCTGGCGTGGGATCTGGTGGCGTTTCGTTCTGCTGTGCATGGGGTTGCTATGAGTTGGAAATGACTCGATGGCACCTAACAACAACAACAACATTTGTGTTATTGTTGCAAACGCCAGGTGCTATTACTAGGAAGGAAATATAGGATGGCTCTTTACAGCTTACAGAGTGACTTTAAACTCCGTCTTTCATTCTACAAACATTTACTAAATAAGAGGTGCTTGCCATATGCCCAGTACTGGCCTAGGGACTGGAGGCCCAGAGAGGAGGACACAGCCCCTGTCCCCCCCACCCCCCCTCCGAAGCTGCTCTAGGGAGAGAGACAGATGAAGTAAACAGTTATGACAGAGTGAGGACTTTGATGGAGGCCTTGAGAGTAAAGGCCTCACAGGGAGGGGCACTTGGCTTAGCCTGGGGTGGAGTTGGGGGGGTCAGGGAAAATGCCCAGAGGTGATAGTTGCCACTTGAGCTGATTCTTTTTGTGTGTGTGTGTGTGATTTGGGTGAAAATTTACAGAGCAAATACACTTTCCATACAGCAATTCACATGCACTTTATCTCATGACATTGACCACAATTTACCACAATGCAACATCTCCCCTCCTACTTCCTCCCAATAGTTACCTCTTCCCTGTGTCCATGCCTCCATGCACTCTTTCCCCCTGAGCTGTCTCCCTGTGCATAAGCAGCCCTTCTTTCTCCCGTGCTTGTTTTCTCCAAGGAGTGTATCTACCTCAGGTAAATGTTCAACTCATATGCCTGTCTTTTGTTTGGCTGGAAACCACAGGTGTGGGTTCAATTCCAGACCTGAAGGTCAGCTAGGGGCCATAGTCTCAGTGGTTCCACCAGGCTCTATCGGACCAGCAAACCTGGCCCCCCCTTTTTTTTTCCCAAATGATTTTGAGTTTTGTTCCACATTGTACTCCTCTATCCAGGATCTCCTACAGAGATCCTCTTCCAAGCGGTTGACAGTAGTAGCTGGGCACCATCTAGTTCTTCGGGTCTCATAGTCATATAGCTGCAGATCAGATGGTGTACCAGTCACTAAGACTAATTGTTTCTATGAATCTTTGGTTTTCTTCATTCTTCTTTGCTCTAGACGAGGAGAGACCCATCGTTGCATCTCGATGGCAGTTTGCAAGCTTTTAAGATCCCAGTCGCTACTCACCAAAGTAGGAGGTGGAACAATGTTTTGTGTAGTATGTTATGCCAATTGATCTTGCTGTCCTCTACGACTATGGTCCCGAGCCCACAGGTTCAGCTACTTGATCCCTCTGGGTAGCTGGCTGTGACCAAGTAGTGAGTACAACCTTGCCCCTTGTCAGCTCCACTATACACCTGGGAATTCAGATCATACACATAAAGTTATAGTACCATGGTCTGCCAACCCTATACATGTTCTTGGGTATACTCCCCACTTCATAGACATACCTAATAGTTCAGCCTGTCCACCCATCTATCCACCTATATACCCATGTTTGCCTTCACTGACAGCACCGTACTATATGTGCAAAAGGGTTCATCTTTGTTGTCTGTACTTCCCACATACCTCTCTATGTCTTTCTCTTCCTCAGTGCCACTATATTGATGACTCACATTTGGTCCACTTTAGCTGATTCTGGCAGGATAAGTAGAAGTGATTCAAGGTAGATGGAAGGGCAAATGCAAAGGCATGTGAAGTAAATGATTGCAGGGCGTGTTTACTGGCCCTGCAAAGAGTGTTCTGTACTAAATAGACAGGTGGTGAGGATGGAGAGGTGGACGAGGCCTGCCCTTCCATCTGCTCAGGGCCTGCTTACAGTTCTGCACCCAATGAGCAGCAAAACTAGAATTTGTTGTTGTTAGGTGCCATCAAGTTGTCTCCAACTCATAGCAACCCTATGCACAACAGAACAAAACACTGCCCAGTCCTGAGCCAGCTTCATGATTCTTGCTATACTTAAGTCCATCGCAGCTGCCACTGTGTCAATCCATCTTGTTGAGGGCCTTCCCCTCTTTCATTGACCCTCCACCTTACCAAGCATGACATCCTTCTCCAGGG